GAATGGTAGTAAATTGGTAACTTACTTAGTAAAGCGTTTTTTTTCTTAATCCTCACCTGAGGATATGTTTTTCATTGATGAGAGAGAGAGAGAGAGAGAGAGAGAGAGAGGGAAAGAGAAACATCAGTGGGTTGCCTTCTGTATGCACCCAGACTGGGGTCGAACCCAAAACCTGGGTATGTGCCCTGACTAGGAATGGAACCCCAAACTTCGGTGCTTGGGACAATGCTGTAACCAACTGAGCCACACCAGCCAGGGCTGAAAGCATTTTGATTGGGCACTAACCTAATGTGTAGTTGAACTACAGTACTACCCTTTGGTGATACGACTTAATACCAGGTTAGAGCTGAGGGGATTAATGTGTTCCCAGGTTGTCTTTCACAAACATCATTGGGAGGAAATGATGGTCATCAGTGCAAGATAGAACTCTGGCAGGCTTGGAGTGTCAACTGTCTCTGTTATTTGCCTACTTTGGCAGTGTGTGTACCAAGATTAGCCCATTAGCCTGCATCACTGATTGAAGAGAGAGCCACATGTTTGAGGCACAGTGCCCACCCAGTCAACTCCCTTGCCCCCAGTGTTGTTTTTTTGTTTAAACCTTCCCAGGCTTCCAATCCATAACAAGTATGGCTTCCTCTGAACACCTGTAACATTTTATGGCCATCTGATGATACTTTATATGTTGCCTTGTGCCCTAGCCGGTTTGGCTCAGTGATTAGAGTGTTGGCTCTTGGACTGAAGGGTCCCGGGTTTGATTCTGGCCAAGGGCACATACCTCGGTAGCAGGCTTGATCCCTGGCCCTGGTCAGGGTGCATGTAGGAGGCAACCAATCAATGTATCTCTCTCACATCGATATTTCTCTCTGTCTCTCTCCTCCTTCCACTCTCTCTGAAAAGCAAAGGAAAAAAATATCCTTGGGTGAGGATTTAAAAAAAATATATATATATGTTGCCTTGTATTACAACTTACTTTTATAATTATGTCTTGCCCTCTAATAGACTGTAAAACCCCTGAAGGTAGAGACCAGAACATATCCTTTTGTACCCCAGCACTTAACATGGTGTGCTACAGGTAAAGAGCAGTCAATTAATGTTGGGAAGGGTGGTACTAGAGCTAAAGGCCATCAGCTAGGAAGGTTTCTTGCCTGAGGAAAATGAATGGCTAGATGGGAAGGAGAGTGGGACAGCCCTCATCAAAGAGAGCAAAGAGATTCTGTTCTGAGGGGCGTTAATGACTCTAATGCCAGTGAGAACCTCGTCTCTCTGTGTCCTCAGGAATCGGGAGATGATGAGTATCAAGGGGATCAGTCAGACACAGAGGATGAGGTGGACTCTGACTTTGACATCGATGAAGGGGATGAACCATCCAGTGATGGAGAAGCAGAAGAGCCAAGAAGGAAACGCCGAGTAGTCACCAAAGCCTATAAGGTGCAGGGGACTTCCTGGTTTTTTGGACTTCTTTAATTCCTATTCTCCCTTTCATCAGGTCCCAGTATTCCTCACACCAGTCCCATTTCCTACAGTGCTCGTTTTCTCTTAAGATTCTCATCTTCTTTCTCATCATCTCTTTTCCTTGGTGTCTGATTCCATTCTGTCCCCAGGAGCCTCTCAAGAGCTTAAGGCCTCGAAAGGTCAGCACCCCAGCTGCTAGCTCTCAGAAGGCCCGAGAAGAGAAGGCACTGCTACCACTAGAACTACAGGATGATGGCTCTGACAGTGAGTGGGGACATTTGGGTCAATTGACAATACTGGAATGTGCTGATGAAAGTATTGTATCAGTGTCAAATATACTGAAGTTGATAACTGTACTATGATTATGTAAGGAAAGTCCTTATTCTTAGGAAATTTACACTGAAGTATTTAGGGGTGCAACTTAACTCTGATTATTCAGAAATAATAAAATACATAACACACATACAGAATGCAAATGGGGCAAAATGTTAATAGTAGGTGATATGGGTAAAGAATTCATGGGTGTTCTTTGTACTATTCTTGCAACTTTTTTTGTAAGTTTGAAATGATTTCCAAATAAAAAGTTTTAAAATTAAAAAATAAAGGAGGTGGACTAATTTCTTCCTCTCTGACTTCCTTCCCAGGTCGGAAGTCCATGCGTCAATCTACAGCTGAACATACTCGACAAACATTCCTGCGTGTACAGGAAAGGCAGGGCCAGTCACGGCGGCGAAAGGGACCCCACTGTGAGCGGCCACTGACCCAGGAGGAGCTGCTCAGGGAGGCCAAGATCACAGAGGAGCTCAACTTACGTTCACTGGGTCAGTGTGTAGTTTTGAGAACAGTGGGTATACGGGCTGAGGAACATGAGAAAAACTAAGACCTGGAAGACCTAAAGAACTCAAAAGGTGGAGATTTGGGACAAGGAAATCTGAAGAAAAAAATGGGAATAGTAAATGATAAGGAGCAAAGAACTAGTTAGTTATAAAGGCTCTGAGGAACAAGTATTATTGAGGTGCTTTAGTGTAAAGTAAGAGTTATATAGAACTGAGTTCAAACCCTGGTTCTGCTGTTCACTTGCTATAAGACTGCAGGCAAATTACTTAACCTGCTTGCCTCTTGCTTTCCTTTTCACGAAATAGGGTGGCAATGCCTAGTTTAATAATCAGGAGAATTGGAAATTCAGTAGAATCAGTCAGTTCATAAGATAAATTGCTTAAAAGTAAAGCATTTTTTAAGTCTCGTCAGTTTATGTGCTACAGTTGTGTACAGTACAAAAACATTTCTTTATAGGGTGTTCTGAGTCTCAGATCATAAGAGGTACATGAGAAATTGAGGGAACAGCAGATTTCATATGCTTACTTTGGGTCATACTTTCATTCAGTGGAATAGGGAAATAACAGGTAAAATTGTCATCAGGAAGTGTATTTCAGCTCTTAATAGGGAAGAACTCTGTAATGACTAGAGATGCCTAAAGATGTAATGTGCTGCTTTGGATGGGAGCTAGTTGACAGGGCAAATGTGGGGAGTATTTGGGGAATTGACCAGGCTCCTCAAAGGGTTCCTTCCAACTCTGAAGTCCTGCAGTTCTAAGTGAGTGAGCCAAGTGGACTTGAGAAATGAGTAAAGAGGATGTCAAGAGGGGCGAGCAGAAAATTTATAAGGTGGAAGATGCTAGAGGACTAGAGGACTTTCATAATTGGCTTGTTCGGCAGTGACTAGACAGCCAGGAAGATAATTGAGAGATTGTAGGGCAGAACCGGGGCATGGGAAGAGGGGGAACTGGCCATCTCATTCCTTTTCTTGACCCTGAAGAGACGTATGAGCGACTTGAGGCTGACAAAAAGAAGCAGGTTCACAAGAAGCGGAAGTGCCCTGGGCCTGTAATCACCTACCATTCTGTGACAGTGCCACTGTTGGGGGACCCAGGCCCTAAAGAAGAGAATGTCGATGTGGAAGGGTGAGTGACTCTCAAGTGGGAAAGGGAAAACTGATGTCTCCCTTCTTTAGCTGTATTCTCTCAGCCCATTTCACTTGCTTTCCTTGCACAGCTCTCACTGATGCTTGGATAGCTTTCAGGTTCTTCTTCCCTTCTGCTCCTTATTTCTTTCCCTTTCAGCCTCTTCCTCTTTTCTGTTTTCCATCCAGCCTAGCTTTCTTTCCCATCTGTCATGGTTTAAAAAAATATTTTATGTTTTTACTGATTTTAGAGAGAGGAAGGAAGAGGGAGAAGAGAGAGAGAGAAACATCAATGCGAGAGAAAAATCGATTGGTTGCCCCCCACATGCACCCTGACCAGGGATAGAACCTGAAACATGGGTATGTGCCCTGACTGGGAATCGAACTGACAACCTTTCGGTGCATGGGATGACGCCCAGCCAACTGAGCCCCGCATGCCAGGGCTCCCATCTGTCACTTAATAGTTTCTTGCAGAATGTTGCCATCACTCTGCCTCCTCTTCCTCTTTCCTTAACTCTCTGATCTCTTTATCTGTTGTTTTCTCTTTCAGCTCTTTGTATTTTTCTCTGTCTTTTCCCTCAGGCTTGATCCTGCTCCTACGGCTTCTGCATTGACTCCCCGTGCTGGGACTGGACCTGTTGTCCCTCCTGCTCGCTGCTCACGTACCTTCATCACTTTTAGTGATGATGCAACATTTGAGGAATGGTTTCCCCAAGTGCGGCCCCCAAAGGTCCCTGTTCGGGAGGTCTGCCCAGTTACCCATCGTCCAGCCCTATACCGTGACCCTGTTACAGACATACCCTACGCCACTGCTCGAGCCTTCAAGATCATTCGTGAGGCTTACAAGAAGTACATCACTGCCCATGGACTGCCACCCACTGCCTCAGCCCTGGGCCCTGGCCCACCACCTCCTGAGCCCCTCCCTGGCTCTGGGCCTCGAGCCTTGCGCCAGAAAATTGTCATCAAATGAAGAGATGTTTAGTCCTTGGAAACCTGTTTCCTGCCCTGACTTGGGCTCTCAATGTTCTCCTTCCTCTCCTTGTTTCTCCCTTTGTCATCTATAATCTTTGCCCAGCCCTTTTCTATATTTCTTTCACCATCTTTTCCCCTAGTTCCTACTGGTTTTGTTTGTGTTTTTTAATCTAATAAAATAGAAAGATCCTTTTGTCTGGTGTCTAATCTAGGATTGGGAGCTAGAAGTATTTGTAAATGTCTGAGTATATATGGGTCTTTATATTTGTTTAACAGCATTTATCATGAGCTGCCCTTTTATTTATTTACTTATTTATTATTGGTTTTTAGAGAGAGAGGAAAAGAGAGAGAAACCGATGTGAGAGTGGAACATCTATCAGCTGCCTCCTACACACCCCCTGCTGGGGATCGAGCCCGCAACCTGGGCATATGCCCTGACCAGGAATCTAACCAGCACCCCTCGGTGCATGAGACGACACCCAACCAACTGAGCCACACCAGCCAGGGCAATCAGCTATCCTTTTTATTTATTATTTTATTGATTGATTTGAGAGAGAGAGAAACATTGATTTGTTGTTCCACTTATTTATGCATTCGTTGGTTGATTCTTACATGTGCCCTGACTGGGGATTGAAACTACAACCTTGGTGTATCAAGATGATGCTCTAACCAACTGAGCTACCTGGTCAGGGAGCTGCCATTCTTAAATTGTAAGGTATTCATTCCTCCAACTAGATTATAAACACTAAAATTAGACACCAAAACAAAGTCCTTATACTCACCTTTATATCAGCTTATAGTCACTACCTTAAGTATAGCAGACACCAAATAAGAATTACCTGATTCTCGTAGAACTCCAGTTTCTAGGGCTTAGGCTTGTATGAAGAGAAAAGGAGGTGTCATGGCTGTTAGTGGCCACTAGAGGCTCTCAGGGCTGGGCAGAGTATGGGGGCTGTGTATATGTGATCTCCCACTACCCCCCACCTGGCCAGAGCTAAAATAATAAAATGCTGAGCTCACTGTTCCCCCACCCTTTCCCCCCACACCCGGGCACTGGGCTCCTCCTGCCGCAGGGACAGTGCTCCAGTAGAACAGACAGACTGACCGACAGAAGGGGAGGTGAGGGAAGTGGCCATCAGGACTGGTAGGTGGGGAAGGCAGGGGGCTTATGGGTCAGAGCCTGGTGGGAGATGGGAAGAGTGGCTCCTATTGGGAATAATACAAAGTGTGTCTCTCTGTCACTCAGTGTATGTTTCTGCTACTGTCCGTCATAGCCTTTAACTGTGTAGTTTATATTGTCAATGTAAATATCACACACTTTCTGGCTTTTTCCTATTAAGCATGATGTGTATGTGTAGCTTATGTGTATTTTTCATATTGTAAAAGATTGTGCAAGTTTAATTCTCCCACTGCTTTTAAAGAAACTATCCCATTTAGAAAGCATTTCCCACCCATTGGTCTGGTGTCACCTTCCTGTCCAAAGCCAGGGACAAATTATGGGGACTCAGCCCCTCCTCCTGAGGCCATTCCACCCTTCCCCCAACCTGGAAGTACCCGCTCCCCCAGCTTCTCTGTGCCCTTGCTTTCCCTTAGGATTTAGAGCTTTAGCAAACATAGTGAAATCTTGATCCCCTAAAATAAAAGAAGAAATGAGGGTGGGATAAGAGAATCGTTTCCCTACCCCTCCTCCCCCAATCCTTGCTTTCTTAAACCAGTTTAGGAAAAAGACTGGATTATGGGGAAGAGAGGGAGAATATCCCTGGAGTTCTCTGCCCCCTCCCTCCTTTCAATAGAACTGGGCCTGGGGCCAACAGTGTTGGCAGGGCTCCAGGCAGCTGTGTTAGGTCAGGAGGCCCAATGGGCGAGGTAAAGGGGAGGGGTGCGGCCAGGATTTCTCCGTCATATAGTGGGAAGGCAAGTCTAGCCTGGATCCTGGGATCCTCGTCCAGAGCAACTGAAAGCTGGGGAAGCAGGAAGGAGGCTCTGGTTCTAACTAACCCTAACTTTCCCCCATCTTCCCATGCCCAACTAGATTTCTAACCTTAAGGCATCCAGTTTATTGTTCTCCCTAGCTGGTCTCTGTGTCCCTACTATGTTTGTCCATGTAGGTCTTTCCATTGTCCAACCACTTTCCCCATGTTCCCCAGGCTCTGTGAGTGCTACACTGTGGGGAGGGGGTGGGGGCCATCATGTCATCGTATCTGAAGGAACTGGAGAAATACAGAGACATAGATGAAGATGAGATCCTAAGGACCTTGAGCCCCGAGGAGCTAGAGCAGCTGGACTGCGAGCTACAAGAGATGGACCCCGAGGTAGGGGCTCTAGCCCAAGGAACCTGGGGCAGTCCCTAGGCATTTGGGGAAGGGTACAGGGCCCCGGGCAGCTGAGACCAGGGCTACCTACAGGGCCTGGAGTCCCAAGAGGACCAGGGAAAAGGTGTCTGGAGATGTTTTAGGGAGCCCTGGAGGTGCCCCAGGTCAGAGGGTGGTCTGACTTGCTCCCCAAAACTCATCCCTAAGAACATGCTCCTGCCAGCTGGACTAAGACAACGTGACCAGACAAAGAAGAGCCCAACAGGGCCACTGGACCGAGAGGCCCTTTTGCAGTACCTGGAGCAGGAGGCACTAGAGGTCAAAGAACGTGATGACTTGGTGCCCTTCACAGGCGAGAAGAAGGGTATGGAGACCCTAACATCCATGCCTCCTGGAACCCAAATGGCTGTATCTCACATGTCCCCTCTCCAACTTCCCTCTCACCTGCCAGCTCCTAGCTGCTTGGGGACTCCGCTGCTCTGATACCTGCATGCCAGCTTGCACTCTTCAGCTATTATAAAAGATCAAGGGACACAGGAGTCCTGAGCTTGTAGAGGATTCAGGCTTTCCAGTGTCCCCTAGTGACCCAGCATTCTGAAACCTGGAGAAGCAAAGAAAGCTGGAGGCCTGGATCTTAGCAGAAATGACCTCTACCTGAACCATCCTTCCTCTTCCCATCAGGGAAACCATATATTCAGCCCAAAAGGGAAATTCCAGCACAGGAGCAGATCACTCTGGAGCCTGAGCTGGAGGAGGCACTGGCCAATGCCACAGATGCTGAAATGTGTGATATTGCAGGTAGGCAGCTGTGGGAAGTTTAGGATGGTGGGAAGATCAGGGGCAGGGGGTCCTATTCATCACATGTGATTAATGGGGAAGGCCCTGAACCAGGACACGGATGTTTGAGAAAACCTCAGGTGGTGGTTTTTAATTTTCATTTGCTTGTTCATGTTATTCATTCTTTTTTTTTTAAATCCTCACCCAAGGATATTTTTTCCATTGCTTTTCAGAGAGAGTGGAAGGGGCAGAGAGAGAGAGGGAGAGGGAGAGAGAGAGAGAGAGAAAGAGAGACACCAATGTTAGAGAGACACATCAATTGGTTGCCTCCCGTACGCTCCCAACAGGGGCTGGGGATTGAGCCTGCAACTAAGGTATGTGCACTCGGCTGGAATCGAACCTGGGACTCTTCAGTCTGAGGGCTGGCGCTCTAACCACTGAGCCAAACCAGCTAGGACCATTTTTTAATTTAATAAGTTAGTATCTCAAGGGCAATTTTACAGGGATTATAAAGCAAATAAAAGTAAAAATATTCTGGCTGAAAACAGGAGGAAGTCTGATAGACTTCCTCACCCTCTAGTGGCTCCTTAGGGACATTCCTTTAGTCCTGTCTCAATATTTTAAAACCTACTGCCTTAAGCAATTTACGGAAGGGACCCCTGGGGCCAAGGGAGGGGGAACTTCTTTGGGAGAAAAGATGCAACAGATTCAGAATGAGGTAAGAGGGGTGGCTTGGAACAAATTCCTTCTCATTCCTTGTCCCCCCTCTGCTTACTCTTTCCAGCAATTCTGGGCATGTACACACTGATGAGCAACAAGCAATATTATGATGCCATCTGCAGTGGAGAAATCTGCAATACTGAAGGCATTAGCAGTGAGTATGTTTGGGAGCATGGCCCCCAGGGCTCTTGGCAGGCAGTCCCAGAGTCAGGAAAGGTAGCAAAGGATGAAACAGGTGAATCGGGGAGAAGACATGTGCATAAATGATAAGAGAACCAACAGGGAGGAGGTTGTAGGGAACACAGGGTTTCCTTCCTACCCTCACCCACAGGTGTGGTGCAGCCTGACAAGTATAAGCCAGTGCCAGATGAGCCCCCAAATCCCACAAACATTGAGGAGATACTAAAGAGTGTTCGAAGTAATGACAAGGAGCTGGAGGAGGTGAACCTCAATAATATACAGGTATTTGACCCCCATCCTTCAAATAATGACACTGGGATAACTGCTGATATATGAGTTCCTTAGCCTACCATCTCCTGTTCCCCTCTGACAGGACATCCCAATACCCATCCTAACTGAACTGTGTGAGGCCATGAAGGCAAATACCCATGTCCGGAGCTTCAGTCTGGTGGCCACAAAGAGTGGTGACCCCATTGCCAACGTAAGGCTGGTTGTTATCCCTAGCCCTCTCCCCATAACTTGACATGTATCTCTGGCAGGGCTGTCATAATAAAGGGATGTGCTGGGGTTGCTATTCCCATCATGCTCTATTAGGGTAGCCCTGATGGAGACTCCTACCCTCAGTCCTATGGCTCACAGCTCAGAAGTCATATCTTCCCAAAGAGCCACAACCCTCTCAACCACCCCCAACTCCACTGCACACTTAATCTCCCTGCTTCCCCTACTACCTACCCTTACTTCCATCTCTCCTTGCCCCACCTACAGCTCCTCAAGGACTTGTCTCAAAGAGCTGTGTTTCCCTCTCGCTCCTGTTCTTTCTCTCCTCAGTTATCTGTGAAACTGTTCCCTAATCCTAACCCAAGTCCCTACTACCCAGGCGGTGGCTGACATGTTGCGTGAGAATCGTAGCCTCCAGAGTCTGAACATTGAATCCAACTTCATTAGCAGCACAGGGCTCATGGCTGTGCTGAAGGCAGTTCGGGAAAATGCCACACTCACTGAACTCCGTGTAGACAACCAGGTCAGCATTCCCTTCCCTTGGGCTTTGCATTCAGCAAATACTCACTGAGTCTCCTCCCTGGGGCAGCCACTGGGTCAAGATCTCATTTGATCTTGTTTGATTTTCCTTTATTGTTTCCATGACTGGAGCCAAATCAGCACCTCTCATCACCCATTCTGGAGAAACAAGCCTCTCGACCTCCCAAAGGGTGGGTGGTCTGGAAGTGAACAACCCAGAGAGCGTAGCTGACAGCTTTCATTTCTGCCTCCCCCAGCGCCAGTGGCCTGGTGATGCAGTGGAGATGGAGATGGCCACCGTGCTTGAACAGTGTCCCTCCATCGTCCGCTTCGGCTACCATTTTACACAGCAGGGGCCACGAGCTCGAGCAGCTCAGGCCATGACCCGGAACAATGAACTACGTGAGTAACTGCAGACATGGTATTGGGGGGAGGGTCAAGTAGGTGCAGAAGCTGGGGGATAGTCCTGAAAGCTGACTTAGTAACTAACAGCCGGGGGTGCTGCCAAAGTGATATTCTCATAAGAAGTTCAAATCCCATAAGTGGTCAGAAATTAGATTGATAAGTTCACCTGCCCCAAATATACACCTGCAGAGAAGTGGAAAGGAAGCTAGACATACCTGTTTGGAAACATAGTATTTTTGTTGTCATTTCTTATTTTGTTTTATTAATGTGACATGGACATGTTTTGTGGCCTAAGATATTAACTCTTTACGAGTCTGGTCAAGGAACTGGGAGAAGACCACCTTTGCAGAAAGCAAGAGATGGAACAAAACTTGTGTTTACTCTTCCTCTTTTACAGGTCGCCAGCAAAAAAAGAGATAACACTACCTTTGCCTTTACCATCTAGAGCTGGGAGCCCTGAATGCTTATATCCTTCTCTATCCCCCTTTCCTGTAAATAAAGGTCCTTCTCTCCACTCTGCCTGCCTCCTTTCTTGGGCTTTGGGGTGGAAATCTTGGCGCTAACCCCCAAGGGTTACTGCCAGTTCATCTGGGGATTATTTATACTCTGGGGATCAACAGGGAGGTTCAAGTTACTTGGAAGAGGTGGGGGAGCTCCTTCCCTTGGTGTTCCCCATAATCCTGTCAATGCCTTTAGTCTCTTCTACTTTCACAGAATACCTAGCCTCAGCCCTGTTTCCAGATGTGGCCAGACCCC